TGCTCTCCCTTTGTTACACATGTTTTGTCTTTTCCATCCACTCACTTGTCAAGTGCTCTCCCTTTGTTACACTTTTTTTGTCTTTCCCATCCACTCACTTGTAAAGTGCTCTTCTTTTGTTACACATGTTTTGTCTTTCCCGTCTTTCCCATCCACTCACTTGTAAAGTGCTCTCCCTTTGCTGTAGCACACATGTCGCTGTTTCGCCTGCATTGCATTCTCCATACTCGACAGTCGCATGACTGTGTGCCAACCACCTGTGTGCGTGTCCTAATCCTCTGTACACTTTCACGCCCATTAGGCAAATGAGAAACACGCGGATGGCCCGGCTGAAGACCAAGAGCATGTGCCCGAGGGTCACCCTAAGGTGGAGGTAAATAGGGCACCCTTGCTTGGCTATTGCCATCTGTACGGTGGACTGGCCTCACCTGTTCCTGTGTGGCGAGTTTGCAGTTTGTAGTGTTGCGTATTGAGCCTGCCGTTTGAGTGTGTGTGTGCGTGTGTATGAGATTGCATTGAACGTAGTTGCTGCGTAGTTTGGGTGTGTACGTGTATGCACACTCACTGATCACTGACTGACTGTGTGTAGCGCTCCTTTGTGGGGCATTGCGACCACTGCCGTGTTGGTATCAGTTGTCGATGCGTTGCTTCCCTTGAGCGTACTGCTCAACTGTGTTTCTGATTTGGAGGGACAGAGTCAGTACTTGCTTCGTATTCTAGTTGTATATGCTTTTGTACTGCATAGTCTAGTTGTATATGCTTTTGTACTTCATAATCTAGTTGTATATGCATTTGTACTTCATAATCTAGTTATATATGCTTTTGAACTTCCTAATCTAGTTGTACATGCTTTTGTACTGCATATTCTAGTTGTATATGCTTTTGTACTGCATAGTCTAGTTGTATAAGCTTTTGTACGTCATAATCTAGTTGTGTATGCTTTGTACTTCATAGTCTACTTGTACATGCTTTTGTGCACTTTGCCAATGGAGGTGTGTCGCGAGACTGCTATCTGTAGTGAGTCCATTTGTGTGGCCGTGGATTGTTCTTGTGTTGCGATCATCGAGTCTTTCTATTACGTACGTCTGTAGAGCTATCGTTGGTCGTATTGATGCAGTTCGTGTTTCAGATGTACGGGTTGTGTGTGTGTGTGTGTGTGTGTGGTGGCATGCCTAGTTCACATGGGAGCGAATTGTGTGCTTCTAAAGTGACCACTGGATGGATTGCCCAAACTCAAAGGACACACCCGTCATGCATCTCTGTATGTGGTGCTAGCTCTTCCTTTACCGTACTGTACGTATTGCTCTCTATCTCTCTCTCCCTGTGCCTGTGCACTGGTTGCTTTCTATTCTAAATCCGTTGAACCACTTTGTCTAATGCCATTGCTTCTGCTTTTTCGTGTATGCGCAGTCTACTTATATGCGTGCCACTGCATTGTCTCCTCTGACACGCTGCCCATATGCTCATACTAACATGTATGTACCTGTACACTCCTCTATCAGAGGGAGACTAGGCCTAGTGTTCTCCTTGTACTGACATGTATGTACCTGTACACTCCTCTATCAGAGGGAGACTAGGCCTAGTGTTCTCCTTGTCCTGACATATATGTACGTGCATACTCCTCTATCAGAGGGAGACTAGGCCTGGTGTTCTCCTTGTACTGACATGTATGTACCTGTACACTCCTCTATCAGAGGGAGACTTGACCTAGTGTTCTCCTTGTAGAGGGAGACTAGGCCTAGTGTTCTCCTTGTACTGACATGGATGTACCTGTACACTCCTCTATCAGGGTGGAGACAAGGCACAGTGTCCGTTCCTTCAGATGCAGAAGCAAGCCGCGAAGAAGTAGATAGCGTGCGCCACGCTGCAATACGCATCGGCTCTGTTGAACTGTTTCTACAGAAGTATACTCGCACATCATATCAATACCATGCAGCACTAAATACATGTGCAGAAGAACAAGCATACGCGGACAGTGGAGATGTGAAGAGAGCTTATCCGAGGCCATGAGGCGAAGCGCCTTCGTAAAGCAATGACATGCGCTGCTCAGCTTATGTATATACCTCAACGACACATACCACTCGTGGGTAAATTATAAACAATAAAATGCTACTATCGGATATTGAATTTATCGAAAAAGATACTTTGTGTATGGTAGTACGCCAAATATCAGGTGCAGCGATAGATATATTTATGTATAAGTATGTG